AAACCAAAATATGAACCTTTCATTACCCATAATAGGGGCACTTTAAATATTGATGTGAACGTTAGGGTGAGCCTTAATGGGGGGGGGGAATTTTTTTTTGTGTGGAAATGTTAACCTCTCACCCCCTCATTTGTTTCTCAACTAGAAGTATGTAAAGTATGCAAAATACCATCCAGATAATTTGTCATTTAGGGCGTGCTCAATGAATGTATATTTTTATCAACAGGTACTTCAAGAGCTAATTGGTGATATTAGTGAAGTTTTTGTTCACTGATAAAATTTTGACCGTTTCTGATATCAGAGATGAGGGGCAGTCGTGGCCTAATGGTTAGAAAGTCGGACTTGTAGCCTGAAGGTCGTGGGTTCGAGTTTCGGTACCTTTAGTAACCACAACTGAGGTGCCCTTGAGCAAGGCACAGAGGAGCCCACAACAGCTTCAGCTGGCGCTGGTGTAAATGGCTGCTCACTATTCGGGGTGTGTGTGAGCAGTGTTCACTACTTACTGCTGTATGTGTGCACTTGGATGGCTGACAGTGGACAGAAATGAAGGGGATGGGATCGGGAAAGGTCTGTGAGCCGGGACTCGAACTCGGGACATCTGAAGCCCAATGGCGCCCACAAGACTATCGGCACAATTAAACATAATTTAACATTTTAAGACTAGCAACACTGTTCCGTGTTCTCGTTTTTAACCTAATTCACAGTTTACTAATGGTTTTGTATAATTATTAATTACATGCTATTATGGACATTAAGACAGAATTTCAACTTTGTTGAGCGAAATTTGGTTTGTTAAATAAGGGCCACCCTAGTGTACATGTATTCAATGTGTAAGGAAAATGTAATTTTTTTTACTTGATGGTTACACCAAGATTACATAACATTTTTGTGTCGTTAAGTTTTAACGTTTTTTGAAAATGGTATAAACGTTGACGCCAACAATGCAAAGACTACATTTCTAAGAATTTGGCACAGGCATTTTAAACTTTTAAAATATTTTCTTTATCATGGACAATATTATATGCACTGACCCTATATTCCGTTACCGTATACATCTTACTGTACCATATTTGATGCTCAAATTTCCAAGGCCTCTAAATGATCAACATGATCAAAACTTTGTTGAAAAACCTGTTGTACACAATCTACTACATGCCTTCTGTCATCTGATTGATAGTTCATATTTTTTAGTAAGTAAAAGACCTTTAAGTATCATTTAAATTTTCCCACTTCAGGTTGTGTTATATGTCTCATTTATGATCTTGTATATGTAAGAATAACTTTTATATTGTTAGTAATATTTCGAGATCAACACTTACTGGACTGAAGCCATTTAGGTTTACTTGATTATCTATGCGTGAGTTTTAGAAAAATCATGCACATCAAGTACATCAGGTTTTTGTGGAGTGTTTATTAGTTGATTTATTTGTTATCATTTCATTGTGATTGCATTATATGTTTGCCCCCCACCATAAAAACAGAGCTTTAATCATATACAGTGCCGTGAAAAGGATTTTGCCCCCTTCCTGTTTTTATTTTTTTATTTTTTGCATATTTGTCACACTTAAAAGATTCAGTTCATCAAACAATTTTTAATATTACACAACGATAATGCAAGTAAATACAAAATGCAGTTTTTAAATGATGATTTCATTTATTAAGGGAAAAAAGCTGTCCAAACCCACCTGGCCCAACGTGAAAAAATAATTGCCCCTCCTCTTAAATCATGAAAGAACTGTGATTAACCACATTATTATCATATATTAACTGAGTTAGATTTCACTAGCCACACCCAGGCCTGATTACTGCCAGACCTGTTGAATCAAGAAATCACTTAAATAGAACCTGTCTGACAAAGTGAAGCATGCTTAAAGAGCAACACATCATGCCGCGATCTAAAGAAATTCAAGAACAGATGAGAAACAAAATAGTTGACATGTATCAGTCTGGAAAGGGTTATGAAGCCATTTCTAAGGCTTTGGGACTCCAGCAAACCACGGTCAGAGCCATTATCCACAAATGAAGAAAACTTGGAACAGTGGTGAACCTTCCCAGGAGTGGCCGGCCTACCAAAATTATTCCAAGAGCGCAACGACGACTCATCCAGGAGGTCATAAAAGAACCCAGAACAGCATCTAAAGAACTGCAGGTCTCACTTGCCTCAATTAAGCTCAGTGTTCATGATTCAACAATAAGAAAGAGACTGGACAAAAACAGCATCCATGGGAGAGTTCCAAGCCAAAGCCACTGCTGACCAAAAAGAACACAAAGTCTCGTCTCACATTTGCCAAAAAATATCTTGATTATCCCCAAGACTTTTGGGCAAATATTCTGTGGACTGATGAGACAAATGTTGAACTTTTTGGAAGGTGTGTGTCCCGTTACATCTGGCGTAAAACCAACACAGCATTTCATAAAAAGAACATCATACCAACAGTCAAACATGGTGGTGGTAGTGTGATGATCTGGGGCTGCTTCAGCTTCAGGACCTGGATGACTTGCCATAATTGATGGAACCATGAATTCTGCTCTCTATCAGAAAATCCTGAAGGAGAATGTCCAACCATCAGTGTGTGACCTCATGCACTTTTGGGTTATGCAGCAGGACAATGATCCCAAACACACCAGCAAGTTCATCTCTGAATGGCTCAAGAAAAACAAAATTAAGGTTTTGGAATGGCCAAGTCAAAGTCCAGACTTAAATCCGATTGAGATGCTGTGGCATGACCTTAAACAGTCCATTCATGCTCAAAAAACCTCCAATGTGGCTGAATGAAAACAATCTGCAAAGAAGAGTGGGCCAAAATTCCTGTGAAAGACTCATTGCCATTTATCGCAAACGCTTGACTGCAGTTGTTGCTGCAAAGGGTGGCACAACCAGTTATTAGGTTTAGGGGGCAATTACTTTTTCACATAGGGCCAGGCAGGTTTGGACAGCTTTTTTCCCTTAATAAATGAAATCATTATTTCAAAGCTGCATTTTGTATTTATTCGGGTTATCTTTGTGTAATAATAAAATTTGTTTGATGTTAATCTTTTAAGTGTGACAAATATGCAAAAAAAACAAACAAAAAAAAAACTGGAAGGGGGCAAAAACCTTTTCACGGCACTGTAAGTAAGCATTTACATATCATCTTAATAAGACATATTATTTGGAGATATAGAGTGACAGCTGATATTTATTTTCATTTCATGCAAGCAATCTGCTATACCCTTATAAAGACAAGATCAGATCAGATTTGCACCTTAATTTTGATCTTGTAAATATTAGCAACTGCACAAAATTGCTATTTTTTCTTTCTCTTTTAGTTTTTTTTTTTTTTTCAATTTGGGCCACTGAATAAAATTCTGATGTTTTTTCCCCATATAATACTATATGAGACATAACCTGATGTATCATACACAACAAAAAGATGTATATGATACACAACAAAAAACATATGCAAACTTTAAATAAATAAAACGTAATTATTAATTTCTAGGATTGTCTGTGACTTTAAATTTCATTAAGAGACAGAAAACACAAACTAAAAGTATTTTTTAAAGTGTACAAGTATAAGGGCAAGAGAGTGGTGCAATGAATCATTAAAAACCTATAGATGATTTTGAAGTAATTTGAAAATGGATTTAGTCTATTACGTATTGCTGTTGTTTGTCCTTATTATCATGGCTACAGCTATCCCTCAGGAAACCTGGCTCTCATCATTCTCAGCAGCAAGAAGGAAAGGATCTGTATCATACATGATGACATGCCGACTCCTCTCTGTCCAGTCCGAGCCCTCTTTCAGTCTAATGGCAGAGCCACTTGTTACCATAGCAACGGCAGCATTTGGTAGGGTGGATTGCTATTACACTGACACAGATCTCAGTGTCTCAAGCGGACTGATTATTGATCTAACTGAGGAGGGGACAGTCTGAAGCACTTAAAGCGGTAGTTCAATATGGACATTTTGTCAAGATTTACTCACCCTCATGTCATTTCAAACCTGTAGGATTTTCTTTCGTCTGTGGAATATAAAAGAACATATTTTGAGAAATGTTTCGCTTACTGTTCGGTTACCAACATTCTTCAAAATATCTTCTGAGAAAGCAAGTCATACAGGTTTAAAGTCACATGAGGTGAGAAATTGATGATAAAATGTTCGGATCCGTTCAGAAACACAATCAAAGATGTTTTTTTTTTTGTGTCTATATATTTTCTTCTATTACAGCCAATAATGCAGAGAATACTATTAATTTGTTACGATTTTTGTTTTAATATTTTTTTTGTTAAAACCTGTCTACACACAAACAGATTTGCATTCAAAAGATAGACAGATGAGCGCAGAATCTAAGCATAGCAACATTAAGCCATTTAATTTTAACATATATAGCATTTATTAATCTAGTGCTAATGCTCATTTCTTCATACCCCAATGCACATTTTTTACTTCAAATTCATTTAATGACCTCATGTCATTCCAAACCTATGAGACTTAAGGTGATTTTCGAAATGAAAATAGGCAGTGCTTCAGTGAATGAAACTTTTGACTGAAAGTCCAAGCAACCAGAATATTGACGATTCACATTTTTCAAAAAGACAATGCTTATGAATCAAGTGGTTGAATACAAGTCTTCTAAAGAGACATTATCACTTTATAAGATATATTTAATTTAGGCATTTATTCAACATTGATCAATGCACATCCATAGAGCACATCAAATATAGGAAACAGAAGCTCAAACATGGTCAAATGTTATTGTACTTTTTAAAGTGTAAAAGTTTTGGATTCGTCGGGTGTCAATGGATGGACAAAGTAGATAAGAGAATATCAATAGTATCTTTAATAAATCAATAAAAATATCTTTGTGTTCTGAAAATGAACAGAAGACTTGTTGGTTTGAAACAACATGAGGGTAAGCAAATTATGTCAGAATTGAAAATTTTGGGTGAACTATCCCTTTAAGTTATAAAAGTTAAACTAATAATACCTCAGGTTAAAAGTATCTCAGTTAATCGAACAGCAAAAATACAAATAACTGCGTGGCTCTTGTTTCCTGTGGAGCAGGTTGAGTATGGATGCTTGGGGTGGACGGAGTCTAGATGAAGGCGGGAGAAGGATCAGAACATGGAGCTGGACAGACAAGGCTCAAACACCAACACCCCTGAGACCACTCTTTCTGTCGCTCAACAGAAATATAGGGGTACGAGTTCTTGGTCAACAGTTGGTGTTTGTGTCATTCCTTGCTTCTGGACAGCAAGCCAGATTCAGAGTAGGCAGCTGTGAGCTGGTAAGAAAGTCTTTTTAATTTGATCTCCAATTTTAAAGACATTTTCTTGATCCGTCACACTTACTACTCAACTCAAACCGGTCCAGCTAAATGTTGTGTCTGCCATGTCTTTGCTTATAGTCCAAAGAACACAACATACCTCCTCAAGTCCTCATGTGTAAAGAGGAACTGGTACTTCTGGCATGCAGGGTTGGCCTTCACATGGCTCTGATACGGTTACAGCAGTGCCAAGCCTTCCCATCCAGTCCAACACACCTGCGGGTCAGACCTCCACCTTTCCTCCACTCGCTGGTCCGAAGGTTGAGGAGTTTAAGCCACAGAGTACAAATGGAAGAGCCAGACAAGGCCTTTATCCAGCACTGTCTGCAGGCCTGTCCATGAACTGACATGCTTGAAAAAGTATACAAAACATACTGGAGGAATTTCAATTGACTAAAGGTGCGAATTTTTGTGGAAAAAAGTTCCGATGTCCCTTGTCAATATTTTAGCAGTGTATGAAGTACTGCTCAGACAGAAGTGACTTTCAAACACAGCAGCTTTCAGTTGCGGTCAGTGTGGCAAATTCACGCAACCAACTACATTCCCTATCTGCATAGGGAATTCTTTCGCCCTCATACTAACTTCCAAAACAATCTCATGGCGAATCATAAATATTTTATGTTGTGGCTCATTCATACGTTTTCGTATGGTCTGCCCCAGTGAGAGTTATGTTGTAAAACATTCACAATGTACAAATTCATACAAAATTGTCACCTCCCAAGGAATTCACACTTCGCAGAGAGGTTGATTGACAGATGATCTTGCCAATCATAACGCTGAATCTGCCAGTTTGTCTGACAAACAAACCAGACAGGACAGTAGTTAACATCAGTGGACTTGAACTTGAAAAATGTTGTGAATTGACGTCTTTCCGTGGTTGAAACAAGTTACCTTTGATGTTCATTCATGTTTATTTTGTGCTATAACTAGTAAAGAAGAAGAGATGATCGGCTCACGTGCCGCTTGAACTGAGGCGCTACAGCAATCTGTCACGACACATTAAAAAGCAACAAAATGGTATTTATTGTTTGAATTTCTTAAAAAAAAAGAGAAAAATTTAACGTTTTATTCCAAAAGTAACCTGCTCTTTCTTGTCTGTCGTCGTGTTGTCAGTGTCCTCTTTGCTCCGCGATGTATTTCTTTACTGCGTAAAAACATGATGCAACAGTAATTAAGGGTGGATATGCATACAAAAGCTGGCCATAAGCGATTATTTAAAGTTAAAGTCTTTCATACACACACCTATGAGTTAGCTTCAGAAGACGTTGATTTATCTATTGGGGTTGTATGGATTATTGTCACGATGGCTGTGTGTTTTTTCAAGTGTCAATATTTGGGCACTCAATTACTTGCATTATATGGACTTACAAACATTTGTAATTAAAAAAAAAATGTTTTTTTGTGTGTGTTCATATGAAGAAAGAAAAAGTAATGTACATCTGCAATGGCATTTGGGTGAGGAAACAATGAATTTTCATTTTTGGATGGACTATCCCTTTAAGGTTCTCTTCGCAATCAGATAATAAAGGCTGATTCACACCTGTAACAGTAACTATACCGATAGGAATGATAATAAAGCAATAAGCCCCAAGAAGCCGTGGTTTACAGTGAATTTATTCACAGGGCTTATTGCTTTTATAAAACGGTTATTCCATATACGTAGTTAGGTTTCACAAAATAAAACAGAGCAAATAAAGTGTAATGATATAAATAAAAACAGTATTCTTCCACCAAACAGTTCCTCAGAAACAGTTGTGGTTGCAACAAAGTGGTTGCCAAGCAACACACAAAGTAAACAAAGGTGGATGTTTGTAGAGTAATTTACAACAGCTTCGAACGCGGCTCAACCAATCAGAATCAAGGACCGGAACTATCCGTTTTATAAGATTCTTTTTATTATAAGCGTACGCTGTAGTTTTGTTGCCTGCCGGTTTGCCTGTCTGTTTTTACCATTCATTAGCTGGAAAAAATAGTTCCGAAAATGAATTTAACTATATTGTTCCTCTGTGGCACTATTGTTATAGCTGTGGTGTGGACTTTGCTATTCTCATAGAATTAAAAAGACATTTAACTTTATAGTTATTATCCTTGGTGTGGACAGGCCTTAAGCCTAGGTCTAGACTAGTCCTTTTTAAGAGAGAATTTACAACATTATCTTAACCTAATCAACATTACACAAACTGACCTAAATTTTTTACTAGTACCCAACATATTGCGTGTAATTTTACATGTAACATTATCAAAAATTCTAGGTACTGCAATATAATCAAGTTCTTTTTATTCCAATTATAGAAATATAACTCCATGTTGAAAAGCTATTAAAGTCTGCATGAAATCAAAATTTACTTTTTACTTTATTACCGCACATTGCTAGTCTTGATGTGAACAATTAATCAGTGCAAGTTAATCCGCTGAAAAAAAAAAGGTTTGTCTTGGTTATCTTTAATCAAAATCGGAACATTTGCTTCCGCTCTGGAATGGCATTCACCCCTCTAACCATTAGATTGCTACGAGTAAGAGACAGAGGAGAAGCGCAAAAATAAAACCACGCCCTCTATTCAATATTCCGTTTCAGCTGGAAATATGTCACTACACTGAAATAAAGTCAGCAGCAACTTCCGGTTCACACGGGCTTTAGGCTGAATCTTTTTGTACAGTGAAAATTGTATAACCAAAATAAGATAAAGACTTCATTAGACAACACATTGACTGTAAATCTCAGTTCACAATTGGATTCTAGATGGTGATAAGCACATAAGACTCTTTACCTGAAGTGATCGGGGTAAGACCAGAATAAACCCAATTCTTGACTAGGTTAATGACATTACAGGACAAATGGCTGAACAATGATATTTCACAGCATGTTTAATAAAAAGAAAGGAGTCATTTTCTAATGGTAAAGTATTATTTCAAACCTTAATTGCAACAATATGTTACTCTTGTAATTTTCTCATTTTATCCAAAATGTTTTAAGACTGTAAAAAGCATTTGCAAGTCTGTTCCCCTAATAAAGAACAACCATATTTAGTTTTATTCCATTTTATTTTCCTTTTAGTAAACATTTTAAGCTATACAAAGCAATATAAAACCCAGGGCTCAGAAATATAATTAATGTTACTTAGTTGTTAAATTATCATGATGGGGGTTGGGTGTATAAGTTAGGAGCTTCTCATATCTACTTATTAATTAAAACAAAGACCAAGAGTTAGCAGTGCAGTAAGATGTGAAAGAAAAACATGCCATCATAAATTCTGTTGACTGAGCTAACTGACCTAAAATGAAAATTGGAGTCATTGTGAACATATATCCTGACCTGAACAAAATGGTTATTGCACAAGAGATGGGATGCAATCATAATTATATGGCCACTGTTGTTGCCGTAGATCCCACACCAGCATCTGTAGGTGGTGCATCTCCGAGGGGCACGGTGAGGAGAACGCAGAACATCGGGCGTGCGCTAGTAGAGTCTCTACTTTCAGCGCAAACCTTCATAAACGTCCCCTCACAACCGTAGGAGAGCTTCGCCACAGAACTAAAAGACAATGTGGAAAAAAAGTACAGAGTAAATTAATTCACCTAAAGGGAGAAAAAGCAATATCATCTGCTTTAACTCTTTAATTAATATATTCCACTGTACAAACAAAAAAGTAACCACATTTTTGGCTCAACTACACTCAGATTAAGAGAACAGTCAAAACATTAAATTTCAATTAAAAATATTTTTGTCAGTTTTAGTGTTATGTAGTAGCTGCTTACCTATTAAACTACTGTTCAAAATGTTGGCGTCAATAAGTTTTTTTTTTGTAATACTTTTATTTACTGTAGCAAGAATGCATCAAATTGATCAAATATTACAGTAATGACATTTACAACATTACAAAATTTGTATCTTAAATAAATGCCGTTCTTTTAGAACTTTCTACTCATCAAATAATTCAAAATTTTTTTATATTTGAATGATTTCAAAAGTATCGTGACACTGCAGACTGTGGAGTAACGGCTACTGAAAATTCAGCTTTGAGATCACACAAATAAAGTACATGTATAATGTATTCAAGTAAAAAAAAAATATTTTAAATTGTTATATTTTGTAATATATATATATATATATATAGTATTTTCAATCAGCGCAGTCTTGGTGAGCACAAGAAACATTAAGAAAAATCTTACTGACCCCAAACTTTGTAGTGTATACATTATAGATAGTAGTAATATTTATTTATTTATTATATGTCAGAATCTTAGGTTATCTTTGTGTCAAAAACTAGTACATTATAGAAATCTTTAAAACAAAAGACAATATTTGAAATAATAGAAATTCATTTAATACTTGGTAGAGTTATGATGGTTAAACATACATGGAGGGGTCATCGGCTCCATTCAGTGAATCAGAGGCAAGGTTACGAGCGATGGTGTGGAAGTGTGTCCATGTGCACGTTCATCTTCATCTCATTCTCCAGAATTTGGACTAGTTGCTGCATGGAAGGCAGGTGGCCTGACTCCAGCTTGGACCAAACTGGAACATCTAACCAAAAAAATGCCCCAAAATAGCGTTACCATAGTGAGACACCATTTTGCTAACTTCCGCCAGACTAAACCACCAAATTAGGCTACCGCCACGCTGCTTCTCTTTAAAAACTTCAACAAACTTGTATGCCTAGCATGTCTAATGGACAGAGAGCAACTCTAATTCTTCTGCTTTAATAATTTCTTACATAATACATTTTCTATGTGCTGCTATTCCATAAAAAAAATTCCCTGGGTTAAGACAGATTATGTTGTTCTGAAAGGGGTCGTAACAAGTATTTTCTAAACTATAAAATCATTCAGTCATCCCATTTTACAAAAAAGAAAAAAAAAGGTGAAATATACTATATGTGACCCTGGACCACAAAACCAGTCTTAAGTGTCAATTTTTCGAAATTGAGATTTATGCATCATCTGAACGCTGAATAAATAAGCTTTCCATTGATGTATGGTTGTACAGTATGTGGAAAATAATGTGTTTTTTTAACTTTAAACCGCATAAACACATTTCATTACACCAAATACACAAAATAATGTTCTTTTTAGCAGCATCATATGACCCCTTTAATACCCTAATGATTTTTGGCATAAAAGAAAAATCTATAATTTTGACCCATACAATGTATTTTTGGCTATTGCTACAAATATACCCCAGCGACTTAAGACTGGTTTTGTGCTCCAGGGTTACATATAATATACATACCACAAATAAAACAAATGACTATTATTGTTGTTATAAACAAACATTACACGAACAAACATATAAATTAACACATTTACATAATAATATAAATACTCACATTTTGAATCAAATACACTTACCATTGAGCGAGATTTCAAAAGCACCCGTAGACATACACTGATTTTCGATCATATTGCTGAAGAAGAACACCATCATACAGGCATATATCTAAAAAAAACAAAAAAAACATCAAATAAGCATTTCTGCAGCTAGTTTGTTTGTATGTGGCTATTGTGTGGATAGTTGATACATGACTTGTGCTACTTTTTCAAACTGAAACAAAAATTACAGAAAGCTGAAGGTTAAATTTTTTTTTCTGTACTTTGATGCCTACTACATTTCAGAAATAGTGCAGAAACAGTCAAGTGAACATTAACATGAGAGCTTGCTCTTTGGTCCCTAGTGTATTACATTTTTCCTATAACCACAAACGTCACTGAGGTGACAAAGTTATAATGACTAATGAGCTCCATGGGGGAAAAGTTTGTATTTGGAACATACTACTCAAACAGGTTTTAGTTAAGAACTACAACCTAAACCACCAA